TGTGTGGGGGGCGCCGGCCGGCCGGCTGACTGTCCTACTGGCCGCGCCCGGGGCGGCGGCCGAGCGATCCCTGAGGGTCCCGCGCCCGTCTCTGTTCCCAGTCCTGCCCTCGGGGTGTAAGAGAGACCTTGACCGGTCTCCTGGCGCCCAACTTGAGTTGCGTGTGGTATACAGTGCTTAGAGCGTTTCCTTCCCGTGGTGTGGCCTATTTTTCCTCGCGGTGGCTTACATGCGTCTCGGTTCACAACATGTCATCAGTCATGAGATAATCGGAGTATTGAAATCTTATTCAGAAATCTGACAGCGCTGTCGCTGACTAATTGACCCCGCCGGGTTTGACGGCACTGAATTGAGCCGGTCTTCGTCAAACAACGTCGGGCTGTTGCCGGCTGACGGCCAGGGTTGACCATGAAGCTGGTGTTGATGGTTTTGATGGCAGTGATGGCTCCCGGTGTGACTGGTGCAGCGACTCTATCACTGGCCTGTATCGTGGGCCCGCGGAGGTGGGCAGTGGGTAATTGCCCCACGCTCCCGCCCGTCTGGCGGCGCCGGGTGGCCCGATTCACCGGCCGAGACGCCGGGCCGTGACGCTCCCCTGCCGCCGCGGTGACGGTCGTCACAGGCCGTGACGCCAGAGCTGAGCGGCCTGCTCCAGGGAAGGGAGGCCGTCACACCGGCGGGCGCACAAAGGGGCCGCCTGCCGCACCGGGTGGGGGCGCAGCACACGTGGTCAGCTACACGTGCAGTGGTCACAGACGGGCGGAGGACTGAGCTGGCAACAAACTGCCGTGTGGTGGTAGTGGAGCAACATGCAGCGGAATTAACCCTATTCCTGGCGGGCTCCGCCGGGACAAGAAACTGGCGGGGGGCCGATTCGGCCCCCCCCCTTCAGATCTCAAAAACTACACATCGCAGCGACAAACGGCGAACGGCGTTTGATAGGTCGTTTAAAGATCTACAACTTTTACATAAAACATTTTCAGGTCAGGTCAATATTGAGGTCACCAGAGGTCATCAACGATAAAATGTTTTGGAATTAGTTACCTATATAACTTTTAACCCTCGCACGACCAGGCCATTTCTCATAACACGAACGACCAGGGGGGGGGGGTTGTTACGACCCCCCCCCCTGGCGTTTCGAAACGGAAGGTCGTAGAGCTTAGCGGAAAAGACCAACGGATTGCTCTCGCCGAGATCTCGCGATTGGTGGTATATTTTTTGGTCCTAGGTCAACATTTGACCTACTTTTGACCGGTCAAAGGTCAAATTTTCGGAAAAATAGACTTTTTTCAACTTTCGGCGGCGATTGCGGCAAAACGGTGGGAGATATCGACTTGAAACCTTCACTATCGTGTTCCTTGATCAATTTTCTATCGTTTGGTATGTATTTCGTTTCCCTAGCTCTAAAAATGGCGCGTTGGGAGCGCCGGAAGTCGGCAAGGTCACAGTCGGCGGCAGAAATTCGAAAAATCAAAATTTAAATTTTTGAAATCTGATTGTATTTTTGGATTTGGGAGGTCCATTTGCTCCCTGTAGAAGCTAATATTGCTGCATATTCCCATTGAGGTGACAAGAATTAGCAAAATAGTGGTTCGGGCGCTTTTCAAAAATAGTACCGGACGCTGTTCCTCTTGTGACGTCATAGCTCCGTGACCTGACCTGACCCGGTCAAATTTCTTACACCATATGATAGCCAATACTTGCCCCAACATGCATGGGAAGTTTCATCACGATCCATCAACCGATGTCCGTACCACCGGCAGGAAACCTCGGGCGTTGACACTCAGTTTGTGAAAATCCGGCCGGAGGCTGTACCTCTTATGACGTCATAACTCCGTGACCTGACATGACCCGATCAATTTTTTTTCGGCAAAAGATGCGCAAAGGTTGCCCCATAAGGTACCCAAAATTTGGCGGCGCTGCGCGCCGCCGTTTTTGCACTATTTCCGAAAAACCTCAGGGGGGGGGGTTGATACAACCCCCCCCTAGGCGTTCTAGGGTTAAACTAAGAAACATAGAGACATAAAACCAATACATTTTTTGTTGCTCTCGCCGAGGCGATGCGAAATAAGTATGTGATTACCTTCACGGGTCAATTTAAAATTTGACCTGAGGTCAAGGTCAGGTTATTCATCAATGAGGTTGTGGGGTATGGTCATGCTGCATACCAAACGACGCGCCTTGACCAGGCGAGCAGTTTGGTACCACTTACAAGTCTTTAGCACCATCATGTCGTGATTTATTGACAGAAAAACGATTTATGACGTCACATGACCTCAGACGACCTTTGCCGGTGCCCCTGTCAATTAGCGGCACCAGGATCATCACCGATGAGATAATCTTCCATAATACTGAAAGAACTGGGTGGTTTTGACTCGTTTACACGAAGCAGGAGGCGTTTCAATATTTTCCCATAGGCTTGCAATGTAAAGGTCACGAGTCTGGCCTGACCTCAGGTCACAGATATGAAAATTCTAAGATATACAAATTGCACATACTGGTACCCTAACTAAAGCCTGAAGAGAAGAAATTGATCGGTCAAAAACTCTAGCTCTGGCGTGATTGCAAACTTTTCTGAGGTAGGGTCACCAAACTGCCTCTGGTGACCTGACCTGAGGTCAGATCAACTCAAAATTTTCAGAAATGTTGCGTAAAAGCCCTTTAGAAAAATTCAAAAATTTGAGCTTCCTAGCTCAAAGCGTTTGGGAGATATAACCAAAAAACCTCAGGGGGGAGGCTCCTGAGGCCCCCCCCCCCCCGCCAGGAATAGGGTTAAGTCGTTATGCATTGAATTGCTCCTGACTTTCGATTTCCTTTTCGCAACTATTTGTCGGATTTTTAATGTCTGCATATCAAGAGAAAGAGTGGGTTTGGTGGGTTTCACGGTAAAAATATGCACGCCACCGTTTGCCACAGTTTATCGGTCAGGTCCCAGCTGCCATGAATGTGTCACACGCCTGACGAAGTGTATAGCAAACAGAGCTACCGGGGCCCGTCAGCAGCTCTTTACAGATCAATGTGACTGCACCCTGATTGGTGGCAGTCCATGATGTCTTACAGTGATGATAACCTACCACAAGCCTTGGTGGCTTACCGTTGGTGGTTGACAGAGCCATTAGTGCTTTACCAGATCCACGGTAGAAAATAAATTTTCCGTGACAAGCAGCATGAGGTAGAAGCACGATTATTTCAAGCAAGGTATATGTACTACTCTTTCGGTGTAAATCTAAAATAGCTTTATCAAAAGCACCGATAAATTCATTTTTGATTGATGCGTGACATATTTATTTGACTTTTGCATACTTCACTGAAGGCTCAAATGCAAATGCATTTTTTTTCAAATGCAGGCTGTAATTTTCAAAGCCAGAAAGTTGTCGGTTTTCTCCCACGGAAGACGCGGCGCCATTGTCTCGCGGTATGTACCGAGGTGTGAGCAGCTCAGCTCAATTCCGGCAGTTTATCGAGAGGGGGCCGTAGTTACCTTGGTCGGCTCCCTGACAGTGCCAGCGGCAAACGACCAGTGGAAGAATGAATGTCGCTACCCACTGTGCCTTTTACATGGTCCGCGGGTCAACTGACATACCGTGCTAAATGGCCATAAGTTCCGGTACGGTGCTCGGTGCCGATTTGTGTTTGTCACCGACTCACTTTATTCTCGTTGAGAGCAAATTTCGCACAGTGTCGCACAGGCGACCCGTGTGACCTTGTGCGAGTGTAAAATACAAAACACGATTTGTCAACGTTGTCGGCGGGCCGTCGAAGGACCTCGGTTGTCGTCCCGGCCCGCGGCCGCCCGCTGGCCGGCGCGCTGTGACCCAACCGCCGGGAAACCTTTCCACCTGTTCTCAACGGCGCCGCCGCACGCGTCTCCCGCTCGCACAATGCGCCAAATGGGATTTCACGGACGGCTGAGCACGAATGCGGCGCACTGGGGGCGAGCGCGGCGCACGCCCCGTCCAATGTGCGTCACAATGGTCACCGTCGGCTGGCGCTGGCGGCGGTCGCGGCGCAGCGGCGGCGGTGGGTCTATGTCGGGTCAATGGCGGGGAGGGCGCCGGCGGCGCGGTCACGCCTGGCTGGAGGGCGCCGGGGCGCCGCGGGGCACCAGGTGGTCGGCAGGTGCCGGCGCCCTCCCCCGCCGCCGGCTCCCCTCCCCGCGGCACGCACCCTCCTCCGCTGCTCCCACGGGGAGGGGCCGCTGCCGGCTGCAGGCCGCGACACCGCGACTCCGCGGCGGCGGCGGCGGCGGCTACCCTTTGTTCACGGCCTATGTAAATCGAGCGGCCCTTTTGCGCCACCGCTCACCATTACCCATTTACGCCTATCATCGGTTTTGTTTTTCAACCGTTCATGCCTGCTCGTCAGTCCGATAGGCGTTATCACAAGTGTATTCGCGGCCATTGGGGCGACGTAAGAAAAGAAGAAAACAACTGGCCTCAAGAACTTTAAATTATCAGTTAGCATGCACCTTTTCCTTGATGTGTAGATAATTTACCATTAATTGTTAGATAAAATTGCATTTCAAATCTTCCATTTATGCTTTTTACATCGTTTGCAAAATATATTCTTTTACTAAGCTAGAAACACTAATTAGAAATAGTTCCTGCATCATCGTCAAGAACAATAGGGAAGGGTAGAAGTGAATATAATAATCTAAACGGTTTTGTAATCCATGTGAAGACACTTCTAAAATTGCCTGTAGAAAAATTGAAGGCAAAAGTTCAACTTTTTCACAAGACTGATGTCTATAAACCTATTCAACGTGTAACAACTCAGCCGGTATTTTGTCGCCTACAGCCCAGCTTTCCCTAGTGACCGATAGAGGCGCTGCTATCGATGTCCGCCCGTGCCGCCTAACGCGTCACTAAGTTTTGTTTTGCCGAGTTGCAGAGTTGTCCCGGGTACTGGGGAAGGGAAGGGGTGGGGGGACTGCACATCGACCGGCGGCCCGTGTTGTCCCTGTAACCCTGGTGACCCCCCGCTGACGTCATCAGGCCAGGGCACCGCGCCGCCGACTCACTGAACACGATCGATTCTGCCGACACACCGACTCGCGGTGTTGATGTCCGACGCAGTTCCAGACCGGGACAAAGGCCGACGGAGGAGCCGGAGCCGCACGAGCTGCACTGCGTCCACCGGCCGGGTCAGTCGACAGAACGGGTGGTCCAACAGTGTGTGGACGGTACTGAGCTCTGTCCACCGGAGCCGACCACGGCGGAGGCGGCGAATATCAGGTAAGCTTGGCCGACCTGTGTGTGAGGGGGGGGGGGGGTCTGTGTGTCCCTGTGTCTGTTGTTGAGTGTGTTTTGTGCGTCTGTGTCTATAGTCAGACTATATGTGTTTGTGTAACGGTGTGTATGTGATTCTGTGAGTCTTTGTGTGTCTTCTCTGTGTGCTAGGTACCCGTCTGAGTGTTTGGATGTGGGTGCTTACATGCATTAACGGGGAAGAGGGTATAAGGGGCGGAACGGGGGGGTGCACCGGGGAACCGTGTCCCCTTGATTTCGGCATTTTAACATAGGCCCTATGGGCGTTGCATGGAAAGAATGGGACCAAAAGTCGGCAATGCCCCCCCCCCCCCACCATAATTGAAGGTGTTCCGCGCTACTGGGGAGGGGGCAAATGTCCCGCAGTGTCTGCCAGTTGCCCCTGCAGTGAAGAGATTTTGCCCACCCTGTCGGAGTGAATATAATGCGCTTCAAATAAATATTCTCCAAGCTGTCAAACCCAATGTGAAAGTCAATCGATCCTAATTCCTTTTCATATTTTGTCGCCCGTGTTTACACTGCTCTTAGTCTAATATCGTAGAGAACATCCAGCGGCGTATCCACAATCCTGAGGTTACCTTTACTTTAGAGGACCCAGTGGAATTTTTTTAACCCGCGCCCTGGTTGGGGGTGTTTTATGCCCCCCCCCGTTCCAGTCGTTTCGCACTCTCCCAAATTAATGCGCCGATCGCCGCGAAAATTTCAGAACCCTCTTGTAAATCGGTTTTACACCTCGTTACATTTTCTTCCACAGTCTATGATAGGTTGGCCGCAAATGACGTCAGAGTGACGTCACGTTCAGGCATTTCCGACCCAAAAGAGGTTTGATGGGAGGAGCTGTCAAGACCAAAGTTTTAAAGATAAAGAAAAATGTTGAAAAACAAAAAGATATAAAATGAGCAGCGCTACAAAACTGTTATCTTGTTTGTTATATATTTGTTTTGATTTTGAACGCCAAATTAAATAAGTGACTTTTGAAATAATCCCCTAAAATGTAAAACAAAATAAAAAAACTGATTTTTTTTAACCCGCGCCCCGAAGGGGCGCAAGAATTGCTCGTGGAACACATATTTTGCTATTTGAGGTCACTGATACCAGGTCAGGTAACAGAGGTCAGGTCACTGAGGACCACAATATGAAAGTGTCGTGTAATCCATGTTTAAAGAACCCGGCGGCCACTGGGCCTCCGCGTCACCCGCCGGCCGGTGGGGGGGGGGGGGCATATAGTTGTCCCCCTTTACTTCTGCGACGATATCATTACAACGCGACGAGATAGAGAAGCACATATCTTCCTGAATACCTAGCCGAGGTTGTGTCCAAATTTGGTGTCGATCTCAGGTAAAATTATAGATTTGCGACTCTCAGTTTCCTCACGATATATCAGATATATGGGACCGTATATAAAGGGCCGATTATTGGTCAGGAACTAGATGAGTGTGCATTTAGGTGTTTCAGGATGACAGCAGGTGCTGTCTAGTTCATTTACAGTTGAGTTTCATGCTCAGCGACATCAGAAACGGTCCGTATCAAAAAACGACAATATTTTATGACGTCACTGTGACGTCATCTTAAGTGCTACAGCCACCACATTTTGCTCAAATATTGCCTAGGTATTCATTTGATGCTACCTTGAGTTTCACGTTCGTAGCTTATCAGGTTACGGAGATATTCCGCAAGACGTAGGTAAGGGGGGCAACTTTATGCCCCCCCCCAGCGGCTCGTGGGTTAAACATGCATAAGGGCTACAGTCTGACCGTCGAGGCCCTCGAGGTGGCCTCTGATGGCCCAACGCCAGCCTCTGAGGTCCCAGCTCCAACCTTAAACTTCAGAGGACAGGGGGCCCCACATTAACCTAAGAGGGCCTACATTGTCCTTAGATAGCCCCAAGCTGAGCTGTTCTCATTCCGGGGTTACATGAGCAAGTAAATGCGTATCAGGAACGGATTTTCCTATTCGCTCACCATTGTAGTCCGTTTGTAATGCGTATTAACTCTGCTCATGTAACCCCGAGCATTGGGCCCCAATCTGGCCTCAGAAGACCCCACGCCGCTGGTCTTAGAGGAAGCCACGCTGCCCTTATATTACCCCACGCTGGTCTAAAAGGGCTACGCACTGGATTCTTTGGGCCCCACGAAGGTCCCAAAGCGGACTCTTAATGACCACTAGCCTCCGACGGCTCGACTTCGGCTTCTGAGGGCCCTAGGCTGGCCTCGAAACCTTTGGTAGAAGTTTGTGTATGTAGACATGTTGTTTACGGATGCTCTGATTAGGCAGGATTTTGGTATACCTTTACCTACGGTATTGGTATGTATGTTAGGTGTGGTGTAAAGGTCCGCTTATACGGTGTATATTAGGTGGTATATGACATTGTGGAGTCGGGTTTGTCCCCATCTGCCCAGTCGAAATTCCTTAGCCGAGGTCCTGCTGTGTGACTGTATGTGTGACTGTCTGTGTGACTGGCTGTGTGACTGTCTGTGTGTCTGTGTGACTGTCAGTGTGACTGTCTGTGTGACTGTCTGTGTGACTGTCTGTGTGACTGTCTGTGTGACTGTCTGTGTTACTGTCTGTGTGACTGTCTGGTGACTGTCTGTGTGACTGTCTGTGTGACTGTATGTGTGACTGTTGTCACCGACGAAATGAACTGCCCTGTTGTTCTTCTCTTTCGTTTTATATTTGACAGCCACGCGTGATCTATCGCAGTACTGGCCATGCCCCGTGAGCCTGGACCAGCTCTTGTGTTAGTTTCTCGTCTCATGTTCTAATTGCCTACAATTTGTCACTCGCGCTATCGCTTCCCACTTGACGGCTGTTCGTGCTCGCCGCGCACCATATCGTATAACCGAACGTGCTGCGTGAGCGTTTTCGGACTTTTCTCACTAGTTTCCAGTGTCGCTTTCTGAGTGCTTTTAGACGTACGACATGATTGTTCTCTTTGTCCGCGGCGGTTTCTCGAGTCGCTGCGGGCAGTCTCCACTTGAACGCCACCGGGTACAGTCCTCGGTGGCGGTGCGCGGCTCCGCCGGCGCCCCGATGTGCGCCGGTGTAGTGAACCCGTGACGGAATCGTGCACCGCGCACGATTCCGACGGCACCCCCAGCGGGTTGCCAACGTGAACAGTGACGGAGTCGTGCCACCGAGCACGATTCCGAGGGCACCCCCGTTCGTGTGCCCAGTGAACGCCACTGAGCCCAGCTCAGTGGCAGTGCGCGAATTCGCCGGCGCCCCGACGAGCGCCGGCGTATTGCAGTGCAGTGAACGGCTCTGACGGCGCTCCGTCCGCGGCGGCGCCGATGTGTCATCTGAACTCTGAACAGTGAACTTCATCGACAGTGCTCATTGTGTTTTTCTCTGGTCTACCTGTCTACTCTGCGTTCTTCAATTTCACCCTCGTCTACCGTTCAACATCATCTATCGTCCGGAATTCTTCAATACATTCATCAAAATTCATCTACGTTTTTCCTCCGCTACAATAAATGTCCCGGCCTCCACCAGAGGCACGACAAGGTCGGCGACATTTAATGGTCCTCCGGGCCGGATCAGGCCAGAAGAAATCAGAAGCGGAGGAAACTTCATCGAAAATGGAAAAACAAGAACCGAAAACGTAGAGTGAAGGCGCTATCGGTGAAGGTCAGAAAATGAAAGAAACAGAAGAAACCATGGAGACTTCGACGCTGCAGCAGCCGCGCCCTGACTCACAGCTGGGTCACGGCCCAGCCCGCCGCGCGTCGTCTCGGGTGAGCTCCAGTTCGTCAGTCTCCGGCGCAGCTGCTGAGGCTCAGATCACGGCGCGAAAAAAGGCTCTGCATGTGAAACAGTTGGAAAAACGACTGGAGATGGAGCGACAAGAAGCGGAGCTGAAGCGGCAGCAAGCGGAGCTGAAGCGGCAGCAAGCGGAGCTGAAGCGGCAGCAAGAGGCGATGAGAAGACGACGTGAGCTGCAAATCGCCAAAGATGAAGCGGAACAAGCTGCGCTGGAGGCACAATGGCGACAGCAGATGAATAATCGACGAAACGCCGGCAGAAGGGACGACTTCATGAAAAATGAACGGGAGGGACAGCTCCCTGCTGGCCCCGTCCCAGCTAGCCCTCAGATAAGCAGACCATCTTGGATCGACGAGCTACCCAAAGATAATATACCGGCATCAGAAAGTGTCCAGAAGCTGAAAGTTACGGACAGCCAGAAAGTGACAACCAGATGGATCTCCATCGCTACTGCCCAGGTACTTGGCATCTCATTCGACAACCAGCTACCCGCTGGGCCAGACCTGCTGAACTCGGAAAAAGAACCCGCTAGCAACAAGAACCTGAAAGAGGCGACTCAACAATCCTGCTCGAAAGAAGGACGCCTCAAAAAACTGAACCCAGGTGAAACAGCTGAGGCAGCAAATTCCCTGCAGCATCCCTCAGCCAGAAAACCGAGCGAAGACCCGGAAATCCAGGTGATCTCCGACGCTGCTACTCAGGTGCTTGGCACCTCGTGCAACAATCGACCACTCGCTGAGTCAGACATGCGGAAAAGTCAAACTGACGTCCCGCAACGATTCCGTGAAAGGGCTGTGGCCTCCGTAGCGGATATCCAGGAGACGGGTGATCAGAAACAGTTCATCCGACAAGAAAGAACGGCTAAAAACTGCCTCCCGCCTGACCTGAACGACGGACAAGAATCAGACCAGAACGAGAAGGAAGAACCCGTCTTCAAAACCGAATCGTGGCTGGCGGCCGCTGACCTTGTGCCGCAGAAAACAGTCACCGATCATGATGCAGATGCAGAAGACAAACTGAAGACAGAGACCACGAAAGCGCGACACGGCAGTGTCTGTATGGACGACGTCCATCAACCAGAACGAACCGTGTCGGAGGCCGCCAGAGCAGTAAGAAGAGATGGTCCCGATCTGCTCACAAAGGAAAACTTACGGCTCGAAAACCAGATGAACAACACGAGTGAAGTGCAAAACAGCACACCACATGTGAGACAAGCACACCCCGATGCAGACTACGATGACACCTATCTCCCTGTCGAAGGAGCTCTGGGTGCTGTCTGGGACGAAGAGCGAGACTCGCCGAGTGCCCAGTTCCGAGACAGTAAGAAGCAGACGACCAGACGAGGAGCGCTCAGGAGAACTGCGGTTATCTTCGACCCCGTGAGGATCGCCGTTCCGTATCGGATCACGGTGCAGATCCTCAAGGAGAAACTCTGGATGCTACGACACATCCGGAGCCGATGGAAGAAAGAAAAAATCCCAAAACCTGGCACATCGAAAGGACTCTGGTTCCTGGTTCGAGAACAGAGCCCCTGCCAGGACCGGACGGACGAGTGCGCGCTGTACGACTCGTCACAGCGAGTGGAGCGACCCACACACGGCCGGTCACCGTGGTCGCTGTCCTAGAAGAAGCAGTTCAGCTGTAGTGAACGGGTTTGTCGCCACATCATTCCCACATCCTGTCAGCTGTACTTCGACCGTCCTCCTACTGACCCACTGAGCCTGGCCTTTAGACCATTTCTGAAACTTCATCTCACCCTCCGTCCCGTGGAGCAGACACCAAACTCGCCGAGATTTATGTCTTTTCCCGTGTCCCCCTCTAGCCCGGCTCGCCACATGGACCGCTTTCCCCTCCCCCGTCCGCGCAGCCGGCCATTAGGCACGAGTGACATCTGGAGGTGGGGGAGCTCAGCTGAGTGGCGCGTGCCGCGCTGCCGGTTGACACTGACCTTTAGTACCGAGGGAAACAGAGGCGACGAAGGACCCTGCTGACCTACTGAGAGCAGCGACCGATCAGCTGACTGCTGGAAGGACAGCACATCAGCTGTTCTGGTGAACGACAACCGAAACCGGCAACAGCCGTGTGAACACTCGCGTTGCGTTTCTGGTGTAGCCGAACACTGCGCACCGGAGACTGGCGTCAGAAGTGACGAAGTGACGCGACCAGTGGACTAATGTGCAGATGACCAGGGACGAGGTCTAGCACAATGAACGATTGTGAAGGTGCCGAAAGTGTTCGCCTTCGCTATGATTTAGTACTAAGTGATATAGGTAGTGTACCATGAATCTGTAGCGTATATGTCCTTGTGTAGTTTTAGGAAGAACTCGCGAGAACCTGTTTGGAGAAGTGTGAATCTTGTAAATGTACAGAATGTTCCGTCGGTGTTCAGTGATTGTGTGATCTCCTGTCTTTAGTCGATCACAGGGGAGGAGTGTGTCACCGACGAAATGAACTGCCCTGTTGTTCTTCTCTTTCGTTTTATATTTGACAGCCACGCGTGATCTATCGCAGTACTGGCCATGCCCCGTGAGCCTGGACCAGCTCTTGTGTTAGTTTCTCGTCTCATGTTCTAATTGCCTACAATTTGTCACTCGCGCTATCGCTTCCCACTTGACGGCTGTTCGTGCTCGCCGCGCACCATATCGTATAACCGAACGTGCTGCGTGAGCGTTTTCGGACTTTTCTCACTAGTTTCCAGTGTCGCTTTCTGAGTGCTTTTAGACGTACGACATGATTGTTCTCTTTGTCCGCGGCGGTTTCTCGAGTCGCTGCGGGCAGTCTCCACTTGAACGCCACCGGGTACAGTCCTCGGTGGCGGTGCGCGGCTCCGCCGGCGCCCCGATGTGCGCCGGTGTAGTGAACCCGTGACGGAATCGTGCACCGCGCACGATTCCGACGGCACCCCCAGCGGGTTGCCAACGTGAACAGTGACGGAGTCGTGCCACCGAGCACGATTCCGAGGGCACCCCCGTTCGTGTGCCCAGTGAACGCCACTGAGCCCAGCTCAGTGGCAGTGCGCGAATTCGCCGGCGCCCCGACGAGCGCCGGCGTATTGCAGTGCAGTGAACGGCTCTGACGGCGCTCCGTCCGCGGCGGCGCCGATGTGTCATCTGAACTCTGAACAGTGAACTTCATCGACAGTGCTCATTGTGTTTTTCTCTGGTCTACCTGTCTACTCTGCGTTCTTCAATTTCACCCTCGTCTACCGTTCAACATCATCTATCGTCCGGAATTCTTCAATACATTCATCAAAATTCATCTACGTTTTTCCTCCGCTACAATAAATGTCCCGGCCTCCACCAGAGGCACGACAAGGTCGGCGACAACTGTCTTGTGTGACTGTCTGTGTGACTGTCTGTGTGACTGTCTGTGTGACTGTCTGTGTGACTGACTGTGTGACTGTCTGTGTGACGGTATGTGTGACTGTCTGTGTGACGGTATGTGTGACGATCTGTGTGACTGTCTGTGTGACTGTCTGTGTGACTGTATGTGTGAGTGTGTGTGTGACTCTGTCTGTGTGACTGTCTGTGTGACTGTCTGTGTGTCTGTGTGACTGTGTCAGTCCTGCTGTGTGACTGTCTGCGTGACTGTCTGTGTGACTGTCTGTGTGACTGTCTGTGTGACTGTCTGTGTGACTGTCTGTGTGACGTGTCAGTCACTAAATTTGAACAGGGGCGAGATGTCGTCTGAGTTCACCTACCCTATACATCTGGTGTTTCTAAGTGCATCAGGTCACGAGCTAATCGCCAAAGGTCGAACCGGCCCCTCACCGTCCGCGTTATGAAAAAGGCCTGGCCAGGGGTAGACTTTCGAAGTGATAACGTTTTTTATTATCTCTTTTTTTTTGCGAAAAACTAGTAACGATAGTCAATTTCTATATTGGTTACCTACATAAGACCTGTCTGCCTGACTGCCAAGCTTGCCTGCCTGGTATGCAACAATACGGTTTGCATGACAAAACATGTCATAATACGATATAACACGTCGTTTTGTGACGTGATAAGACACAAAGCTGCAAGACATGTCGTAATGCGTACGACGAAACACTACGTACTAGGCCACTGATTTATGATGAGTAGAAACGTAACAAAATCTATAATTCTGCGTTCCAGATGGAGATGACAGATGTGCGTGAAGACCTGGCCGCCCTTCGCCGGGAGATGGCCTCACTGAGCAAAGTGGTGGCCGGTGCGGTGGTCCGCCTGGAGCAGGCAGTTATCGAGGAGCGGACCACTCGCCAGACCGTGGTGGAGGATCTGCGGCAGGAGGTCCGCCGGCGAGCGGCGCCATCCGGCCGTCCCCAGGGGTGAGACTGGGAGGCAGCAGGGGTGGCTGTGGGGGCTGAAAGATTTCGGAGAGCTGTCATGGTGAAAAGTAAACTTTCTTTGTAGGTAGAAAGTGTAAGAAATAAAACTCCACTAGGTCATTGAAGGTCGAGTAACTTGTAATTGTAATTTCCGCCCAATCAAAGAAACATGCCTTGAATTCGTACCATCTTTTGCAAGTCAGCCGTTTAGTCTCGATCGTATTGTTCCAGTTTTCGACAGACGTCCTGCATAAAGTTGGCCAGTTCGGGGCATAATCCCGCACGTATTTACATGTTTTCATCAGCAATCGTGTCACAAAATCTAATCGGTCGTATCAAATCGTTCAGAGTCGTATCAAATCAACTCTGATTTTTTTATACAACCGAGTAGATTCGACGATACCATTACTGACGAAGATGATATGGAGATGTATATCGAAATATCAAATGAGCCGACAATAAATGCGGAATTGCAATGCCTGATCAGTGGATTAATAGACTTTGTTTTTTTTTTCTTTTCAGTAGGGCTAGAAAACAGGCGAATGACGTCACGGTACAGACGGAGCCCCAGCCATCGGCAGTCAGTGACGTCATAGTACAGACGGAGCCCCAGCCATCGGCAGTCAGTGACGTCACGGTACAGACGGAGCCCCAGCCACCGGCAGACAGTGATACCACAGTGCTGAGAGAGGCGCTAAGGACCGTGATGACGTTCGACGCTCCGTCAGACCTTGGCGAGGATCAGCTGACGGCGCTCCTGCAGAGTCTTCCCCGCTTGGAGGAGCTGACCGTCAGGGTCCCGTCCTTCGGAACGGGGCGGTGGCTGCGGCTGCTGCCGACGTCACTGAGGACGCTATACGTTGCCGGTAAGAATATGTTGAGGAAACACGTACTATTACTTCTGAATGGTGGTAGGTACTTACATGGTACATAAAGTAACAGTTTCAGTGATAAACGTTCAGCGGACATATGTATGCCATGCTACCTACATGCTACACAAACATTAGCCACTGTATTGTAGGCTTATACTCTTGCAAACGAACCTGTATGTACTGAACCTGTATGACCTGTATGTACTGAACTGTATTAATTAACCCTCGCCCGCACATGCCATTTTCCCATCCTAGAACGCACATGGGGGGGGGGGGTGGTTGCCACCCCCCGCGCCATTTCGTTCCTGTTGGAGATAGAGCTTAGCGATAAAGACCAAAAAGATTTCTTTGGGAAAAGACGAATCCAATGATACCCAGTTTTACCTTCCCAGGTCAGTCATTGACCTTCCAGGTCAGGTCAAACTAAAAAATGTTGCTGTTTTGGGTCACCGTTGGATATCAAGTGCGCTGCTTATCATATACCGATGACGATGCCGTTTTCTGGTGCCAAGCCAGCTAGAACCTCTTTGTCACACTACCCGACCAGGTTTTTGCTGCTGAGGTCATTTCAGGTCAAGTTAGGTCAAGGTCAATGATATGTGTTTGTATGTCTGTGTGTGTCTGCGTGTATACTGATGTGTGCACCGATTGTTTATGTGTCCATATTACATGAAATCATGATCTGAGAAGCTTTTACCAAAAATGCAGTAAAAAAAAAACTTCAAAAAAGTTAATTCAGCTTGCCTAAAACGCAATTACCTTATATGACCTAGGTTGACCTTGACCCTGACCTTGACATCTGTACATCGTCGAACAACATGTTCCATGATAGATGGGAGGTAAGACTGGCATAACAGGTCGAAATCAAGGTGTCAAAAGCTCGCAAGGCCCATAGCCAACGCAAGATGTTGAGAATTGGCCATTTGGGTCATGACATGACCTGAAAAACAAGGTCATATCTCCGAAACCAAAAACCGCAGAAACTTGAAATTATCAGTGGACATCAAGAAAGGATAGAGGAGCAGTTATACGAAAAATCAGCCTTCTAGCTTTAAAAATGTTGAGTGCAGAGCAGAAAGACTACCTGGCGGGGGGGTGGCAATCCCCCCCCATGTGCGGGCGAGGGTTAACTGACGCATGTATAAGCGTAGCGCATGCATTGTGCACAATGTTCAATTACTGTCCAACAGTGCCGATCGACCCTGGCTTTGTCAGTGTCGTCTGTGTCAGGGTTTGACACCACAGTGTCAGCCGCCTCCCGACCCGGCAGCAGCTCCGTCCGACTGCTGTCAGCTGACACAGCTCTGTCCGACAGGGCCGGAGGTGACGAAGCCGAGGTGGCCGGGACGGTACGGGAGTGGTCTGTCGGTATCTCTCCAGGGGGTGGCTGCAGACACCATCAGTCACCTGGCCACGGAGCTGGGGTCACGGATTACCCTACTAGTCACGGATGGTGAGCAGCGATTCAAGTTACTCATATATGAATGGCTAGGACTAGGAGGGATAAACAACAGTAGCTGTTCCGGCGCTCAGCGTTCGCTGGCTGTGACGTCACGGCCACCCCGGCGGGCCGCGGCCCGGCTGACCTCCAGTGACCTTGAGACGCGCTGCCGGCCGCGTCAGCTGATTGTCGGCGGTGCGCGGCGACCCCAAACGCTGTCGGACTGGTCAGGTGCAGGTGGCGCTGCCGGGCGCTCCTGAACGGGGCAGGGGGCTATACGAAGACACGAAGAACAGGAAAACAGGCCGGCAATACCGTTCCTTACTTGCTATTTTTGCTCTAAGGTACTGTCTATTTTTTCTAGCAAATGTTCATAAATGATGTGGGGAAACCATAGACCCGGGAACAGGGGGGGGCAGCGGGGGCGCTTGCCCCCCCAACTTGGGAGCCGAGGGGGCGGCGCCCCCTCAACATTGAGGCAGCGAGAAAAGATCTTTCCTCCCTTTTCCGGACTTCTTTCCTTCTTGTTTCTTTTATGCATCTAAACATCAACACACGGCATTTTCCTTGCCATCTGAATGGTTTCTGCTGATACAATGTCGATTTGACAACATCTGCTATTGTCATCCCGCTTTGATTTGGGCCTGACCTTGGCCATAAGTTTGGCAGGCCAGATTTTATACTGTACCAGCTTGAGTCAGCTTTGAGAAATACATAACGTACAACGGTGGTAAAATCGTTGCTATAGGTATAACACAGTTTACCCGCTCCGGGTGAGATGGAGGGGTGTGGGGCAATGAGTGCACTGACGTGGCGCCCTCGGAGGGCCGGTATGGGATTAAAGCTCAGCGACACTAAGGGCTTATGTGGTGCCTTCAGTTATCGGTAGCATCCTCAGAATCACCGGCGTAAGGGCCCTCAGAGCCGCCGGTAAGGGGCCTTTAGAGGCACTGATCATGGTGTGGGGCCGTCATGCACTATGCAGGTGCCGGTGTGGGCGCTGAGGTGCTAGTGTGATTCTCTCAGAGGCGCCGGTGAGGGTCCTTACAGGCGTTGCTGTGGGCCCTCATAGACGCTGGTGTGGAGCCGTTACAGACGGGTGTGGGGTCTTTTGAGCTGCTGACGCGAACCCTCTACAAGGCGGCAGGGGGTTCTCAGTGATCGGCAAGGGGCCCTTAGGCCGGCAGAAGAAGTCCTGTGGGGTCCTTGGAGACCGGCATGGTACTGTCAGACGCCGGTGGGGCCCTCAGGGCTCAGAGTCACCGGTGTGGGGCCCTCAAGTCACCAGTGGGTGGCCTTTAGATGCGCAGGTGTTGGTTGGGTCCTCAGAGCCGCCGATATAGTGCTTTAATAGGCACTGGTGTAGGCACTCGGAGTTGGGGGTGTGAAACGCTCAGAGGCACCGGTGTGGGCCCTCATAGGCGCCGATGAGGGCCCCCACAGTTGCCGTTATGGGGCCCGCAGAAAAATAAGTGTGTGACCAACACAGGCAGGAAATGCCCCTAGAACTGGCCCCTCATAGGCCGGTAAGAACTCTCAGAGGCCAGTAACGGGCCTTTGGAGACCACCGAGGGGCCCTTTAAGTCTGCAAAAGGCCCTCAGAAGCCGGCGTGGGGCCCTTATGGAGATCTTAGTGTGGCTATTTAGGGTCCATGAGGTGCTCTAACGAGCCCCATGGGGCCCTTCTGAGTAGAAATATGGCCATCGTTAACTCTCAGCGGTCAAATGGCGACGCAGGGCCCCTCGGACCCGAGGGTCCCTTTGAACCCGATGGGGGGGGGATACGTGTCCCCTTAGACTCCTAGCTACGCCACTGTTTCATATGCATCATGTCAGGCATTTTAGGCTCGCCCCCCAACTTGAAAAACGTTCCCGCGGGCCCCTGGGGGAAACAGTTTATCCCTGACACTGAAGCCTAATTCAAACCAAGAATAACTGGATACAACACATATTACATGTACTGTAGGTAATGCTGCCTCATCCTAAGGTAAGACGGAAGCCATAAGCCATGGTAAGCCGTAAGATGACAAGCGTGTGGTGAATGGTGCTGGTCAATGATTTGGTCCTGTATTGGTCGTAATATTTACGCTACGAAATTTATGACGATACAAAGTTGAAACAGGTACCTACACCTAAGAGCTGAACAAAATACCTATGTGAAAAGGTTTCAAAAGCTGTCAGATTGATCGATTGACATTATGAGAATATGCCTAGTTCGGATTATAATGTACTAATTTAATTGTTATTTTTGTTTTACCTATAGGTATGTCAAAGACCCATCATCATTTTATTCGTTGACTATTCTGTTACGGAAAGTCACCGTAATTTATGAAATCCACATCGTTTTGATAAAGTACATATTCATTGAGACACGGAATTATCATAGCATTGTAGCCACAAACAGTTTTCACTCTGTGTTTGCTATACCTGTAGCCTGTAGGTAAGTGTACACTTAAGTTTGAGCTAGACTAATGCCTGACATTGGTTCGATCACCTTTCCAGCACAAATGACTACTATCCCAAGTCAGCTTCGTGGTGCTATCATCAGGGTGGGCCCAAACACTATCATCCTTCCGGCCGGAGTCGGTGACAGCGAGCTGACGGAGCTGCGGAGCTCACGGGAGACTGTGAAGCGGCTGTCAGTTTCTGCCGCCGACCTCCCGCGACTGAGGGGGCAGCTGCCAGAGGGCCTCAGGTTCTTCAATGTCAGAGGTGAGGTACCCCGGATCACACATGTAATGCAGGTATATGCAAATGGTCAGCGAAAGGCAAATTGACGAACCGATCAGATTCGGTCAACAACACACAACGTTGCATGTGCATGATATTGGGGGATGGGTTGCAACTTGCAATGCTTACAGTTGTATGAAGTACATGCATGTTATACATAAGCATACAAAGTTATACCAATACATACGTGGTGTCTATATGTATGTAATAGGTATATAGTTAACAATCATGTAGATGAGGGCTAATTTTACCTTGCAACTGCTTCAAGTAGTGTAATTCGTTAAACTGCCAATTTGATGTTACCCTTATACCTTTACTGTTTATAACGCATGTGCTGAGCTGACGCCTGAGGGAATGTCGCACTTATGTTGTTGATATTCGCACATTTGCATATGATAGGTGGTGCTAATATCGCTCTCAAGCCGCTCGGCTGTGTCAGTGCTGGCTGTGTCAGTGTCTGACATTCTGGTGTCAGTGGTGCAGCAGGGAGCTGGCGGCAGCTGTGTCCGACTGCAGTCAGCTGACACAGCTCTGTCCGACAGGGCCGGAGGTGACGGAGCCGAGGTGGCCGGTATGGGACGAGGATGATGATCTGTCAGTGTCGCTCCAGGGGGTGGCTGCCGACACCATCAGTCCCCTGGCTGACCTGGGACGGACGGTCACACGACTGGAGATATACGGTGAGCAGCGGTAGCACGGACAGGCCGCTGATATACGGGCTCAGTGAGTGGCCGTCGCCCGTCACCGAGTAACGGTGTGGTGTTATGACTGGACGTGTAAATAGTAACATACGTGTAGAGATGCCGTTAGGTACTTACAACGTAAAACACTGTCCCATTATGATTTTTTTTTCGAAATAGTGGAGTTAGTGCACTTGATATAAATTCAGGCAGACATATTTATGAAACCCACGATATATATGAAGTCTCATACCACATACACATTATAATGCTGTTGCCGTTCGCGAGAAAACAGATTTCATTAGCTGAACGCATTGCATATTTTGGTCGTAAAAGCAGGATTGTGCCATTATATTGAGATCCGATGGAAGTCTGCAAAGTGCGAGGTGATTGTATTTTTCCATTTTATCATGCATCAGCCTTGGCGTCTGCTAGTCATCACCCCAGTCGGCTGATCCTGTCTGTATGTGTGTCTGTGTGTTTTCCAGATTGTACTGATCACACGGCCGGCAGCCTGGAGCCCCTCACCAGGTGCACTGGGCTGGAGCGCCTATCAGTCTCCGCCGCCGACCTCCCGCGACTGAGGGGACAGCTGCCGGAGGGCCTCAGGTGCCTCAATGTCAGAGGTGAGATAACGCAGATCACACGTGTAATGCCTCTTATGCAAATTTACAACGGAGACGGGAAATGGCCGAACCATTCAGCCTCAACTAGCAGGTTTCATCGTTAATCGTGTCTATTACGCGTATTGTGGTGAGAGGGGGAAGGGGCTCATGCATGCCCTTCGATAGTGTTCATGCTTGTGGCATATGCGTGGAATATTAGTGTAACGTCACGGGGTGATTTAAAAGTTGAGGTACTAGGAATAGTTGCATTGTCACAAGCAGCAAATTTCCGAACAAACGTATTGAGTATTAATCGACGACTGACACTGACTGACTACATAGAGAGAGCTCGCTGACGACGAGTCTGAGCAGACTGACAGGACTGACTGGCCGCGGCCCTGGCGCGGCGGTTATACAGAGTATAGGTGGCGCCACGATCGAAGGCGGCCAGCACGGAAATGCAGGCATTGCTACAATTAGTGAACACGTATTCCAATGAGGAATGATTATAGACATAGTGCAACCAATGAGAGTAGTAAAAGTAGTTTCATAGACTACTGTATTATGCATATACTTATCGCATATACATATTATGTTCATATTCACATTCTACATATGACTGCTGGTGCTAAAAAATTGCTGTGCGGCCGTTCAGCTGTGTCAGTGCTGGCTGTGTCAGTGTCTGACACTCTGGTGTCAGTGGTGCAGCGGGGAGCTGGCGGCAGCTCTGTCCGACTGCAGTCAGCTGATACAGCTCTGTCCGACAGGGCCGGAGGTGACGGAGCCGAGGTGGCCGGGATGGTACCCGTGGGTTGATCTGTCAGTGTCGCTCCAGGTGGTGGCTGCCGACACCATCAGTCACCTGGCTGGCCTGGGACGGACGGTCACACTACTGGAGATATACGGTGAGCAGCGGCAGCACGGACAGGCCGCTGATATACGAGCTCAGGGAATGGCGGACACCGAGTAACGGTGTGCCGTTGTCGGACCTCATGGAGACAGGTGCGATACATAGCGAATGTGCTTTGCGAAATAATGAAGCCAATTGAGCTCCCAAATGGAGGACTGTTCACCTGGTGACATATTCGTTCAGAGTTAGTTGATCATACTCATAACAATTGTGTTGCACTGTTCAATGAAGTTCAATGCATTTGCTTAACATTGCATATATCATATAATAGCACTGTTGTAAGTACCATTGTCTACTGTGTCCATAAAACCATGTGAATTATTAGGTGTTTTTTCGTTTTGTCATATATCGACATGTATTACAGCTAACTGATCCTGTCTGTATGTGTGTCTGTGTGTTTTCCAGATTGTACTGATCACACGGCCGGCAGCCTGGAGCCCCTCACCAGGTGCCGTGGGCTGCGATGCCTATCAGTCACCGCCGCCGACCTCCCGCGACTGAGGGGGCAGCTGCCGGAGGGCCTCGAGTACCTCAATGTCAGAGGTGATATACCACAGATCACACATGTAATGACGGTATATGCAAATGGTCAGGGGAGACGGCAAATGGACGAACCAAGCAGTCTCAACTAGGAAGTTTCATCGTTAATCGTGTATATTACTCGTCTCGTATTGTGGTGAGAGGGGGAAGGGGTTCAATGCACGCCCTTCGATAGTGTCCATGCTTGTGGCATATGCGTGGAATATTAGTGTAACGTCACGGGGTGATTTAAAAGTTGAGGTACTAGCGATAGTTGCATTGTCACAAGCAGCAAATTTCCGAACAAACGTATTGAGTAGTAGTGCGAATTCGGCATCCGGAAAATCAGGGATAATTTTCCGGGATCAACGGGATCATTCGGTGTTTTAGGCTGACACCGTGCACAACGCACATGCCAATGAGTAAAAGAGCCATTACTGAAGCAAAAGCAATATAAAAATATGACTTATTGCATCGATAGTCCTTGCAATACCAAATTATTACCGGTGATCCCGGATAATTATCCCTCATTTTCCGGATGTCGAACGCACGCCTGATCGACAACTGACACTGACAGACTACACAGAGAGCTCGCTGACGACGAGTCTGAGGAGACTGACGAGACTGACTGGCCGCGGCCCTGGCGCGGCGGTTATACAGAGTATAGGTGGCGCCACGATCGAAGGCGGCCAGCACGGGAATGCAGGCATTGCTACAATTAGAGAGCAAGTATTTCAATGGGGAATAATTATTAGATATAGTGCAACCAATGAGAGTAGCATAAGAAGTTTCATAGACTACTGTATTACGCATATACTTATCGCATATACAGTCGTCCTCAAAATTATTCATACCCTTGTTAATTTACGACATATTTTGCTTTTTTGATGAAAAGAAAACATTTTGTCGAGCTTATTTATGATTTATATATGACCAGCAGGGGAATGAATAACAGCAACATACAACTGACAAAATATTCAGTTTCAGGTCTGTTTTATTCATGAATCTTTGAAAACACTCATGTTCAAAAATATTCATACCCTTGGTTTTCAGAGTTCAGTGTCTTTCTTCAGTAGTCGATAGCATATCCTTTGTTCCTTATTACTGCTTCTAGTCGGTTCCTGTAGGTGCTCACAAGCTTGCCACGCGTTTCCTGTGTGATTTTGGCCCATTCTTCCCTGGCGAAAGCCTCCAGCTGGGTCAGGCTAGTCGGTTTCCTGGCCGTCACTCGGGTCCTCAAGTCCCGTCATAGATTATCTATGGGATTCAGATCAGGACTCTGACTAGGCCACTCGAGGACGCTGATATCATTGTCCTCGAACCATTCCTTGACTACTTTAGCCGTGTGTTTGGGATCATTGTCTTGCTGGAACTTCCAGTTGTTGCCGAGTTCCAGCTTCTCTGCAGATTCCTTCAGGTTTTCGTCCAGAATTTGGATATAGTCCTCCTTTCTCATGGTGCCCTGGATCCTGACGAGGTTTCCTGTGCCGCGGGAAGAGAAGCATCCCCACAACATGATGTTTCCGCCACCGTGCTTGACGGTTGGCACCGTGTTCTTGGGATTGTAGGCCTCTCCTTTACTCCTCCAAACATATGCAGCATCCATGTGCCCAAACAACTCCAACTTCGTCTCATCAGACCACAGGATGTTTGCCCAGAAGTTGGAATCTTGCTGCATATTGCCTCTAGCAAAGGCCAGGCGAGCCTTGCTAGAGGCAATATGCAGCAAGATTCCAACTTCTGGGCAAACATCCTGTGGTCTGATGAGACGAAGTTGGAGTTGTTTGGGCACATGGATGCTGCATATGTTTGGAGGAGTAAAGGAGAGGCCTACAATCCCAAGAACACGGTGCCAACCGTCAAGCACGGTGGCGGAAACATCATGTTGTGGGGATGCTTCTCTTCCCGCGGCACAGGAAACCTCGTCAGGATCCAGGGCACCATGAGAAAGGAGGACTATATCCAAATTCTGGACGAAAACCTGAAGGAATCTGCAGAGAAGCTGGAACTCGGCAACAACTGGAAGTTCCAGCAAGACAATGATCCCAAACACACGGCTAAAGTAGTCAAGGAATGGTTCGAGGACAATGATATCAGCGTCCTCGAGTGGCCTAGTCAGAGTCCTGATCTGAATCCCATAGAAAATCTATGACGGGACTTGAAGACCCGAGTGACGGCCAGGAAACCGACTAGTCTGACCCAGCTGGAGGCTTTCGCCAGGGAAGAATGGGCCAAAATCCCACAGGAAACGTGTGGCAAGCTTGTGAGCACCTACAGGAACCGAGTACCGACTAGAAGCAGTAATAAGGAACAAAGGATATGCTATCGACTACTGAAGAAAGACACTGAACTCTGAAAACCAAGGGTATGAATATTTTTGAACATGAGTGTTTTCAAAGATTCATGAATAAAACAGTGTAAGGTCTTCGTCGTCTAAATTTGCGGCATTGTTTTGCGCCCGTAGTTTGAAAACCGTCAGGTCACCAAATTGTAAACGGTCAGAATAGAATGGCCGTTCATGCGTGTGTCGGGGGGACGGTGACTGGCGGTGCGTTAGTGCCTGGGTGCCAGGTGCGTTCGAAGGACATGGCCTTTGCCTCATGCCTGTTTTTAGAACGCACTAACGCCTCGGGCCGAGTACAAAAGCGGTGAATGAGAGTGAAGCGGGGTCTTCGGTGCCAGTTCGCTGCTGAGTGCGCTGCTCCGAGGCCCCTCCGACGAATCACCGCTGCTGGCTTGGTCTCAAGGTACGGTCCCTGGGCACTGGGAAGATGCGGGCTCAAAGGTCTTCCTATAGATAGGTTTGGAGCAAGGGGAGGCGGTTAACCTTTTATGGCGAATGCGTTAGGGTATGATAGGGTAGTTTTGCGCGTTATTTTGGCGGCCTTATTGATGTGTTTATTTTCTCATGGCAGTCCATTACTATTTTGGTGTAAATACATTGGGGCTAAATCAATAGCATCTTTTCATGGAGGTTTTCACGAGAAGGAGGAATGAAAGAGCGGGAGCATTTTCAGTCGGCACTATAGTCCTGCCAGTTTGACTTTGAGTGGCTAAGTGTTTGGTGCATATTAGATTAGTATACCCATCGGCACGCTACCAACCGCGTGGCTGCCAAATGGCGAGCATTCACCACTGAACCACCCGAGTAAAACGGCCCCACAGTAGTTGCATATATAGAATGACAGTGGCCCGGGTGGCAGACGGGTTAACGGCACAAAGGGAGACGTCCCTGCCTAACACTAGTCACGTAGAGTAAAGTAGCAGATAGCTGATAAAGGGGGAGATAGCGACAGACCCACAGGACCCGGGGCTCGAGTCTCCACCCCTACAACAGACCTGAAACTGAATATTTTGTCAGTTGTATGTTGCTGTTATTCATTCCCCTGTTGGTCATATATAAATCATAAATAAGCTCGACGAAATGTTTTCTTTTCACCAAAAAAGCAAAATATGTCGTAAATTAACAAGGGTATGAATAATTTTGAGGACGACTGTACATATTATGTTCATATTCACATTCTACAGACTAGGTACATATGACTGCTGCTGCTAAAAAATTGCTGTGCGGCCGCTCGCCTGTTTCAATGCTGACTATGTGAGTGTCTGACACTCTGGTGTCAGTGGTGCAGCGGGGAGCTGGCGGCAGCTCTGTCCGACTGCAGTCAGCTGACACAGCTCTGTCCGACAGGGCCGAAGGTGACGGAGCCGAGGTGGCCGAGACGGTACTGGAGTGATGATGGTCTGTCAGTGTCGCTCCAGGGGGTGGCTGCCGACACCATCAGTCACCTGGCTGACCTGGGACGGACAGTCACAGTACTGGAGATATACGGTGAGCAGCGGCAGCACGGACAGGCCGCTGATATACGAGCTCAGCGAATGGCGGACACTGAGTAACGGTGTGCCGTTGTCGGACCTCATGGAGACAGGTGTGATACATAGCCAATGTGCTTTGAGAAATAATGAAGTCAATTGAGCTCCAAAATGGAGGACTGTTCACTCAGTGACATATTCGTTCAGAGTTAGTTGATCATACTCATAACAATTGTGTTGCACTGTTCAATGAAGTTCAATGCATTTGCTTAACATTGCATATATCATATAATAGCACTGTTGTACCATTGTCTACTGTGTCCATAAAACCATGTGAATTATTAGGTGTTTTTTTTTTCGTTTTGTCATATATCGACATGTATTACAGCTAACTGATCCTGTCTGTATGTGTGTCTGTGTGTTTTCCAGATTGTACTGATCACACGGCCGGCAGCCTGGAGCCCCTCACCAGGTGCCCTGAGCTGTTCAGTCTCACCCTGTCCGGCGGCGTCCCTGACACCGTGAGCCTGGAGCCCCTCACCAGGTGCCGTGGGCTGCTATGCCT